TCTGCCTGCTGCCTCACGCCGTGCGCGAGAAGCAGGTGAGATCCTGCTGGGCACCTGGGCTGTGTCCAGCACTGGGCTCGCCAGGGCGACAGAGAGACGTGGAGCTCCTGGGGAGAGTCCAGCGGAGGGCTAGGAAGACGGTGAAGGGCCTGGCGCATCTCCCACGTGAGGAAAGGCCGAGCGAGCTGGGGCTGCTCAGCCTGGGGAGGAGGAGACTGAGGGGGGATGCGCGTAAGTATCTGCTGGGAGGGCGTCAAGAGGACGGGGCCAGACTCTTCTCCGTGGTGCCCAGCGACAGGACGAGAGGCAACGGGCACAAACTGAAACACAGGAAGTTCTGTCTGAACAGGAGGAGAAACTTGTTGACTGCGAGGGTGACAGAGCCCTGGGGCAGGCTGCCCAGAGAGGAGGGTGTCTCCTTCGCTGGAGAGATTCGAAACTCCTCCAGACACAGACCTGAGCAACCTGCTCTAGCTGACCCTACTTAAGGAGGGGGGATTGGGCCCAGCGATCTCCAGAGGTACTTTCCAACCCCAAGTATTTGGAGACTCTTTCCTTTCCTGGGAGCCAGGCCCAGGGGTGCCCCCAGCCCACGTGGCTCCCACCCCCCTAGGTGCCACAGCTCTGTCTGGCCCAGGTGCTGAGTCCCTCCTGCGGCCTGGCCCACGTGGGTCTTGTCATTTTGTTGCTCGGTGTGCTGTTTCCCCCGTGGACTGAGTACAGGCCCTCTGTGAGCCCTTCCCCAGCACACGTGCACGCCTTGTAGGGACCAGGCACAGGGTCCTCTGCTTTGGGGTGCCAGTGCAGGCTGGTGAAAGCTTTCCATACGAGGGCTGAGCGCAGGGTTCCTTGAGTCACATGGAGTCAAGGGTGGACTACGCACGATATCATTTTAGCGGGCTGGGCACAGTGTCTTCTCTGGTCTGGGGTATGCCTGTACGGACCAGGCACAGCATCACCAGCTCTCCCTGGGTTGGCTTTGTGTGGGATCCTTGTCCTTGGCTTTTCTTTCATTAGGATCAGATGTGGGTAGCTGTGAGCGGTTGTAAACAGCTCAGTGGACAGCTGAGAGTCTCTGAGTATTTCCAGCCGTCTGCCTCTCTTTTTGCCTGCTTTATCTGCAGCCTTGTGGAGGTTTTGGTGTCAGACCAGTTTTGCAGACTGCCCTGGCTGGCTCTAGGTTGTGACAAGCACTTTGTAAATCCCGATGGGCTGAACAGATAGGGGACAGCATGCTGTCACTGCACAGGGACATGGTATTCCATGAATAGGGGAGATTGTCCAGTCAAGCCCCTTACTCTGTTTTCCAGAGAGCACACGTAATAGGACTCTAAACCATGGGACAAGGGAGAGGTGACACCGGCCTTCCAATGCTGGCTGAGCCGTGTTTCTTCATCAGAGCTTGTGTGGGGATCAGAGGAGCTTGGCTGCCCTGGAGGTCTTGTTTTCCTGGCCGGGCTAGAAGGAGCTTTGAAAGAAATGACAAGATTATCATTTTTTCCCCTCAGTCTCCACAGATTCAGAGAGCTCCTTCCCATTCCTTTTCTGATATTTTGGAGCTGTGCTGTTTCCCAGCTCCCAGAGGTTGTGAGCAGCTGCACAGGACATGCTGAATTCCTCTGGCATTTTATTGCACTTCTTGTTGGAGAGCCAGTCCGAGGGCAGAAGCCAGTAGACGAGGGCTCCAGTTCACAGCATTGCAAGGGAAAGATGGAAGGTATCAGAATGACTCAGAGCACTGGCATGACCTGTTCCTGCAGGCTGTTGTGCTTTCAATGTGTGGGGGCAGATCTTGTCCTTCGGCAACCTGGTTCCAGCCAGGGTAAACTGCACAAGAAGACAAGTCCGGATGTGTTGCACATGTGAACGATGTGCAGGGACTGTCTGTGGACACAGCGGAGCAGATGCTGTTTATAACTGGCCATTTGTCTTTGTGCTGGAAGAGGAAGTGAGCAGGGTCGATACTTGGCTCCTGAGGGGAGGTTCTGCCCCTAAGGACAAGTGTCTGCTGACATCTGCTGGCTTCGGCCTGCAGAGATTTCAGGCACAAGCTCTATGACAAACAGTTCTAGCCTAAGAGATCAGAATTTGACTGGCAGTTTTGTTTGTTGGGCGCGAAGTTACTCTGTGTTGCCCTTGTGATGTGATATCAGCCAGAAAGAAAGCGAGAATCTTCCTCAGTGCTTTTAGCAAATCCTAGCTGTGGATGCTAAGCAGAGACAAGAGCAACCATGCGAGGCCAATCAGCTGGTTCGTCCCTGGATCTGAGGTTATATAAAAATGTTTGCACTCCTGAGGGCAGAGCATAGGATCAGTGTGCTGTGCACTTGATAGGTGGCCCATGAGCCTGACTCTGGAGCTGGGAGTCCTGAGTCTTGGCTGCCCTTGCTTTTCTTGTGTTTTTGAGTGAGTGAGTGAGTTGGGGCATGCAGGGATTCCTGGAGGAACACGTTCCCGGACAAAGCTCCTCAGAGGAGATGAGGTGGGTTGCATGCCACTATTGCAGACACAATCAGCAGTGTTCCCTTTTGCTTACCACAGAAAGCACTGCTTAACCAGAAGCACTTAAGGCTGGCATAAACATCTGCATGTCATCACTGCTAGGATGGAGTGAGTGCCTGAGGTGATCTGTTTTACTGACAGAGAAGCAAGGTGCTTCTTTGCTCTTTCCTCTTTGTCCGTCTTTGACTGAGGGAATAAGGCCTAGCTTGCAGGATAAATTGGGGAAGACTGACACCTACGAGGGCTCCTGAATCTTCAGGTCATGCAGAAACCTTTGGTTCTGCTGGGACAAGACTGGAGATTTGTGTATGGAGGGGACTGCATAGTGTGAGTTTCTTGCTCCTTGCAGTGACATGTCCTCACCTGCATAGGTGTACATGTGCCAAGCTTTGTGGTCTCTGGCTATTGCCTGGATGGTCCAGCACATTTCATCTGATTCTGTAACTATTAGGTGAAAAAATGCATCTGAGTTATTTGCAAAGGGGGTTGATGCCAGTAATGTTGCTCCTGTAGCAACACACGTATGCCATGTAATAACATGTGTCAACTCTGCAAAGTCTAAATGTAGTGCTGCGCTCAGATGTTGCAGTGAGCTGGTACCTCTCCATGCAGCTGCTCCCGACTGGGTCCCAGCTGCAGGACAGGCACCCTGATGCAGCCATAGCTGTGTCGTTGCAGCTAGCTTATCTGACATTTACTGAGGGCTCTGTGTCCAATGCTAGTGCATCTCAGACCGTGGAGCTGCATTGTTTGGATCTTTCATAATACTAATGACAAAAAGTATCACCAACTGCACCAAGACTCCAACCTGCTGGATAGAAGACAGCTGGATTTCAGAGGGCTGTGGGGCCAGGCACAACAGAGCAAGACTGTGCTGGATTGCTCACTGCAGCGACACAAGTATCACAGATGCCAAGCTGGTACTATTTGTTGTCGTAGGCATTCACACTACAGCATCACTGAAGTGACAGTGGTATACTTCTGACTCCTCTTATGTACACCAGGAAGCATCCTGTACATTCACCACATTTTGACTCTGGATAGAGCCACCCACTGAACGAAAGTGCTTGATTCACGGCCCTTCCTCAGCTGCTATATGCATGAGTATGCAGTGTTAGTCTGAAATGTGCAATGCTGTAGATTTCAAAGTGAAAATGTTTCTTCCCAGTAGGCTTGCCAGCTCCTTTTGAGGGTGGCACTAATTTGTCCAGCCCTATGAATCTCACCAGTGTAACTACAGGGCAGGAGGTGAAATGATCAAGTCCTTGCTTTTGATCGCCACCTTCCTTATTGCACAGCCTGATAACTGAGTGCTTCAATAACATCACTCTCTGCTAGAGAAAGAAGATAGATTCTGATTTCTGGTATTTTAAAGATGTTATTATAAAATAGTGTTTTATTTCTTTCATTACTGTTCAGGAGCTCATGGCATTGTGTTTGAAGGACCTAGAAGAGAGAAAGAAGCAGGAAATTGATAATAGAAGGGCTGTAGAGCAAGCCACTGTTGACCTGAAGGTAAAGTGCAGTTTACTTGTCTACTGGGCAGTCATTTTCCAAGGAGAGATATTTTGCTACATCTATAGCTATTCAAAGACCCAGTCAGCTACTGTTTCCCAGGAGAAGGGTGTATTCATTGGAAGCTACTACTATCGGATGGAGAGAGCAGGGAGGGAGTCTCCAAAGGTTTGGCCTTCCTTCCCTGATCAACCAAACACCTCTGGGAGAACTATGTTGAAATTTCCATGCAGACAAATAATCAGTGTCCCCAGCAAGGTATGTTATTCTGGCTTCAGTGATGTAGGTGGGGATGCACTGCTTATAGAGTGCAAAATGGCTTTTGCTCTAAGGGCCTCTCTGAACATTTATGTTAAGGAAATGCCAGTAAGACCTGGAGACAGTTCTAGGTAGGTTTGCAACATTGCAGTGTGATGTCACTTGCTTTTGGATATTTTCTCTTCCCAGCAGTTCCCTGTCCCTAGCTTGTTTGAAAGGGGTCAGAGAGTGTGTTGCTACCTAAGGATCAGGTCTGTTGCTTGTAGAGGTCAGTACCTGTTATAGTCCAGGGGAAAATAAGTGCTTTCTGCATAAATAAGCATTTTGGAATCTGCCTTCAAGCTTTTCCATATAGGACATCA